TCTCAAAAAGATGAAGTCAGGCGAAGCTACAGCAGACGGTAGCCAACCTGTGACACACGGTGCTGGTACTTTGCAGAACGGTTGACGAATTCCTGCGATCAAGTCGTTGTTGAAGAAGGCGCGCAAGGACTGGCAAAAAAGCACGACAATTCCATTCGGAAGAAGAAGATCAAACCACGGACTGCTCGAACTCCCATGTAATTGACGTACTGTCAAACATTACTTCAATTTTTGCGCGAATTGTTGATGGTCGGATTCGTGCCATCGTCCAGCTCTCCCACGATTTAGTGTGACTTCGTCTCGGGCTGTAGCACCATCTCCATACATGCGTGTTCTGCTAGAGAGACATCGTCAAAACAAAAGCCACTAATTCTCGCTTTCCTATATCTGGGAGAAGCTATTCAATCGCGTTCTGTGTGAACTTATATGGTACGCCTTGCGACAACACAGTGTTCTCGAAGAGCTTTTTGAGTGGGTGAAGACCGAGCTTTTGGTGACTGACTCGAGCGAGGCGGGCTCCATTCAAGCTAGTGGCACTGACAAGGGAATGGTTTCAATTTTCATGGAACTTTGAATGGAGACCTAGGTACATCGATAGAGTCTCGAATGCTGATTACGAATATGCAGATTAAAAGTGCTACGGGGACCTCCCAGACGAGTTCTGGGCGGTCAAAGTTTGCGAAAACTCAGTTTTGGCTCGTAAGCGCTGCTGATCGATTGCTAGGCAGTGCCACCGTGGCCCAGTGGTAACGGTCTTGTTTCGAGGGCAAAAGCTTGTGGGTTTGCATCCCGTTGGCGCGAAAGCTTTTGCTTCGTCTTCCTATGGAAGCTTTTACTCTAATTTTCAAAATTCTTCCGAGTTTACGACCCAGCAGAGCAAGTAGATCAAGTGACGTACTCGATCGAGTATGGATTTGGTCACTATCTGCCCTCTCTGAACTCATTACCCATCCGACAATTCGAAGTTTCGGCCAGAAACTGATTCCTGAGGGTAATTTTACCCCTGAACTCGAATCATCAACTGAAGGAGGGAACCGATCGTTTTTGCGTCAAAGATGTGATATTCGGGCCCAGTGGGTCAAAATACCTCCAGGAAAGAGTTTTTCTTCGAATTGTCGAAAGCTTAATGAGTTCAGAGAGGGCAGATAGTGACCAAATCCATACTGGATCGAGTACGTCATATACCTGATCTACTTGATCTACTTGCTCTGCTGGGTCGTAAACTCGGAAGAATTTCGAAAATTAGAGTAAAAGCTCTTATGGCTCTAAAGCAAAAAATTTCACGCCAATGGGATGCAAACTCACGAGCATTTGCCTTCAAAGCAAGATCGTTGGCCATGGTGGCACTTGCTGGCACTCGATCAGCAGCTCTTACGAGCCAAACTGAGTTTTCGCAAACTTTGACCGCCCAGAACTCGTCTGGGAGGTCCCCGTAGCACTTTTAATCTGCATATTCGTAATCAGCATTCGAGACTATCGATGTACTAGGTCTCCATTCAAAGTTCCATGGGAAGTTGAAACCATTCCCCTGTGAAATCATTCGTGCCGAGGACCGTCAAGTATCTTGGATCGGAAATTGGGTTCAACGGCATCTGACCTCAAAGGTAAACCCGTGAGTGCAGCGTGGGCTAAATGGCGCTCCATGACTCGAGTTTTCTGTGGCAAGACGCTACCAGAGCAACTGAAATCAAAGATCTATGAAACTAATTCCAGAGTAGTAGCGTTAAATGGTTCGGAGTGCTGACCCGCGACCAAAGAAGTTCAGCCCCCTCTCATAGAGACGGGGATTACAATGTTACATTGAAAAGCCGGTGTCACACGTAGGTTTGCAACCGACACACGGAAGAAGTTCGGCGTAACTCCAGTAACTGATAAAATGCGAAAACCTCATCCCCGATGTATGGTCACGTACTCCGCGCGAAGGCAGGCGCTGTAAAACTGGTCTTCAGCTCTGAGTGCTTGAAACGCTTTGAGGGACAGCCAAGAAACGCTGGCTT